AATAAAGCAGGCAGGACCCCTGAACATGACTGCCCACATGGAAGGGAACAACTCTTGTGCACCCGGCTTTAGAGTGCAAATGCCCAGAACCTTTCTTTGAGTCACATGCCCTTCCCACTGCATCAAGTGTCAGAGACAGCCAAGGAGACAGAGGAAAGCCAGGGCTTCCTCAAGTATCTATTCTTTCTCTCATCTTTATTGGGGCTGGATGCTGGTTTGTGGACTAGATGAGCCAGGAAGGGGATTGTAAAGTTTTTTAGCGGCGAGGAGAAAGAAAGACAGACAGAGTGGGGGGCCAAACAATGTGGCTTTATTGAGCGCTCCTGGGCGAGGTTCACAGGCCCCAAGAAGTAGGGCCCGAGAAGTCTCCCCGCCCGGAAGTTTTGAGCGGGCTTATATATGTTTTAGAGTTGAGGGATGGGGGTTTTTCTGGCATGAAGAGTAGGGAACTCTTTGTTTGCAGTTTTAGGGTGGGTATTGAGAAGTAGGAGGGGCTGGTGGTATGGGTGGATTCTAGGAGGGGCCGGTGGTATGTGTGGATTCCAGGAGCCGAAACTTCTCTTATTTGGGTGAACATTTAGGTGTGGTTATTCTTTCTTCTTTAGGGAGGGGAGGGGTGCCGCCACCAGCCTTACAGGGATGTCTGAATAGAGAGAGGTTGTTGAAAAGAAGAATCCAAAGAGTTTAGTACCTCTATCACCTTAAGTAGCTTTTTTAAAAAAAGAAAAGGGGCAGTTGTCTCGGTTTGGACTGGAATAGGTAGGAGGGACATAACAAGAACCAAACCAGTCAATGTCTCTAGGTTGGATCATCTATTGGTGCTTGATGCTTTTATTTTATGCTATAACTTATCAAGTATCTTATAAAAGTTGGGGCTGGGTGTGCTAGCTCAGGCCGGGCACAGTGGCTCACACCTGTAATCCTAGCACTTTGGTAGGTTGAGGCAGGAGGATCGCTTGAGGACTTTGAGATCACCAGGAATTTGAGACTGGCCTGGACAACACAGTGAGACCCTGTCTCTACAAAAAATGTTTTAACTGGAGCTTTAGTTCTATTGTAAAAAAAGAAAAAATTGTTTTAAAAAATTAGCCGAGTGTACTGGCACATTCTTGTAGTCCCAGCTACTCAGGAAGCTGAGGCAGGAGGATCGCTTGAGCCCAGGAGTTTGAGATTACAGTGAGTTATGATTATGCCATTGCTCTCCAGCCTGAATGACAGTGAGACCCTGTTTCAAAAACAAACAAACAAAAAAGCTGGCAGAGGATCTGTGGTTTTTGCTGGGCTTGTGATAATATGAGCAAGTTGCTAGTATAAAGCCAGAGCTTCTACAGTATGGTATACTCTTGGTAGAGAAATGAATTACTCTATGGGATTTCTGAAGGCAAAGTTGGTGGACCAATCACATTCTCTGGCAGATTAATGACACATATTTTCTTCTAGGTTCTGACTGACCATTAAGTGGAGGAGTTGAACAGTGCTTTCTGTAATGATATAAAATGAGAGCTATATGAGAGGTTATTGAGCTTAGACAAGCAGTGAGGGTAAAAGAGTCTTAAAATAATAAGGAAAATTACTCTGTACCTTACTGAGTAGCCAAATCCATGAGTATGGAAATGTTTGCTCAATTTTCTGGCTGTATTCTAAATTACATTTCCATGCAGAGCCACATTCTTCCTTCCGTGCCTGAGGCCAACCTGTCCAGGGTTGATTCTGTTGCTGTGAATGTTACGGACAGGGGCCCTGCAGAGTTAGCTTTATGACTATTGTCCCAGATTATTGCATGTAGAAAGAAGGTTTTTGACACTCAAAGATCCATTCCATCCCCTCTGCTAGACCCATTTTATTGAAATTTTCTCAACGCCTTAAATCCGTGGA